TATCTTCTGGAATGCATAGGTGCCGAGTACATGACAGACGCCTTCATTTGAATTTATTTACCTTATACCTCATATATACAAGCATAGCAAGGGACGGGGGATATTTTAATGCAATTTTACAAGGTACCGACCATGCAATAAATGAATAGGTAAACTGCTCTTGCTGACTTGCATGAGTCCTTATCAATCTTACATCTTTTTTTAAAATAACTTAGCAACACCTGAGATCTCGCGTACCAAGAGAAGACAGACCTTTCCGCTGTTAATTTTGTATTCTGCGCCATTTTGTATATTTTTGTATTCAATCTCACTAGAATTCAGCGGAATAACTTCACAAACTTTAACTTTATCCCTTCTTTCTATCTGTGTCACACGAAGATCGTGTACTTTGTAACACCATTAATTTGGTCCCTGAAACAGAACACGGATCCTGAGTACTGGAATTGTATCTATTTTCCGATTGATGTGAAATCTGTCATTTTGGTGTGCCGTATATTCGGGTCTTCTCAAAAGGCAGCCCTGTATATCCAACGCTAAGGTCGTTTGGTAGGTTTCGGCTTTAGATTTGCCATTGAGATTGTTGTTTTTATGAAGCGATTAAGTGGCGGCATACATACGGCCGCCCTTCGGGAGATAAGCCTCTTTCTCGGTGAGCTCTTTTTTCTTCATCTCCTTCTTTCTTCCTTCCCGAGTATTTGATGAGAAATGGAGAGAGCTTATAAGGGTCAGATTAAAACTGACCGTTTCTGTTTCGGCGTTTTGCTTCTCCTGCGTGGGATCTGTGTAGCAAGTATAAGAAGGAGCATTCCGATCGAAGCCTTGATAACATTTTATTGTTTCCCTTTGTTCAGCTCCGGTATAAAGCAAAAAGGACATTAAAATTGAAGAAACCGGATATAGGAATTGTCCTCAAAAACGTGTATACAGCATTGTGACTTTTTTCTTCCCTGTTCACCTAAATTCAATAGACCACATTCACGAAGAAAGTATTTTCGATCTTGTTCCCTGATTTTGTCTTTATAAATTGTAAACTTTTAATTTGGATGGTACCAGACTAGTTTAAATTACTGATTCTCTTGCATTTTCTTTCATAATCTGGCTTTAAACAGTCTTAGATAGGCCTAGTTTAATCAAAATTTGAAAGTATTCGTTACAGTGGATAGGTACCAATTTGTAATGACATTTCATTGACTGCTTTCATGTCTACCCCACAAGTTCCAAAAATGAAGAGTTAACCTCGCTTTCAACTTTCAACCTGTATGGTCGAGCTATAACTATTATTTTATAACATTTTGTAACATTTTACTGGAAGTACTAGTTTGCGTTAATATGCTTGATATGTGGAACAGCTACAAATTATGTCATTTTTTCCCCGTGAGAAATGTAAATTTTTTTCGGAACCAGAGTAGCATGTGGAATACTGCAGAACAGGAGTTACTGTATTCATCAATGGGGAATAGCACGTGGTTGCGACATGATTCGAGATTGGCGCGCAGATCCTTTCAGCTTCCAGCGTGTTGACACCTCTGTTTTGGTAGTCTTGAATGACCATGCAATACAATATAAACAGAGCAATCCTGCTCAATACGGCAGTCAAACTAATCCCAAAAGAAATTGCTCTTACTTTCTTCCTGCCGAAAAGATCTGTAAATTTCATTTTCCAACTAGAGGAAAGCAACTTAAAGTTCTTACTTTTATGAACCCCGCTGGTTGGGCGTTTAAAATGAAAAGCTAATAATTTACATCATTTTCAAAACATGTGGGCACTTCCTAGACACTATGGATTGCAGGGAGTTTTGTTGACATGGCAGTTTTGTCGCGGCAACATCGTGGACAGGGCGGCAGAACATGAAAACATACTGGATCTGGGGCTGTTGCCAAAAAAACGAGACTATATTACCTCATGCGTCCTGGGGGGCAGGCGATACGCCACACCGCCACAGGATGCTTTCACCAATAGTCTATCCAAATAATTATTTCCTCTTTGGAAGACTGTATATAAACACCTGCGCTATAACGCTCTCTTTTCCCATGCACTCCGTCCCAGGGCCGTGCGACCGGGGCTATTGCCGGGACCCGGACGAGAAATCCGGAGCAAACAGGAGGGGAATTTTTAATCAACTATCCGACACCGGGACGAACTCTGAAGTGGGATTTTTTGACATAGGCTGGCGGTGCTTTTAGGAGTGTTTGGTGGAAATGTCTGCCTGGAATTTCAGAGATTTCTTTTTATCTTTGTTGCCGGCTGTAACGCGCCTCCGGGAAGATTGGATGTAACTCTTGGTCCGGTTGATTCCTGTTTGGTGTAATCAGGTCTTTGGACGCATTCCTACAACCGTCCACTTCATCGCAACGCGAGCCCTGACGAGAAGCACTCGTTCTTTTCAAGTCGTTGCTAGCTTTTGTAAGTTACTACATTCAACCAGACGAGCTTGCAATGAGCATCTCCTGTACTCCACCTTCACTATCTGTGCTTTCTAGCGTGTGGCCAATGACGTCGGGGACTATACCGTGCAACTATTCAAGACAGACGTCATAATCATTGACAGCAGGAAAGTTGTCGAAATCGCAGGTTACCAACGAAGTGCATTCTGACAAATCCCAGATAGTAGAAATACTGTATACCAACCATTGCCTGGTAAGCGAGCCACAGTCGAAGTTGGAGTCAGATTTCTTTGACTCAGGCCCCATTTTTAAATAACGAGAGCTTCTAAAATAATAGATGACTACCGGTACACATTCTAGCCATTTCCTTGGTTTCGGGGGATTAGATACAATCCGATGTACGCGTCAGGGAGGCTTGATGTGAGCATACAGCGATGTCAAAAGCAAGTACATTTTGGCGGATTGTATAGGGGCCTACTGCCGTCAAAGAATCTTACAAGTGCCCTTAAGGATATCGGACAGGGCGCCAATGTGTAAGTTTAAAACATATTGAACAAACACGACATCATGTCTGATGTGTCATGCAGATCCTTTGAGTGCTGTGAATGCTTGGCCTTTCACAAAGCTTCAAATAAAATTTGAAATTTGTTTCTTGGTCGAGACATGTGACCCAACGAACACATGTAGTCTCAACTATCTTCTTCAATATCAATAAGCTTTTTTGTCCTTTCTATTATCGTCTACAATATCACGAACAAAGAATCGATCCAACCCTTAGGTCGACAAGCAAAATGTCACGTCCGTGTTGTGACCTTGTTCCTATAGAATCCGTATACCTCAACCTTGTGCCAGCCTCACTGCAGGTCGATCTGCCGCGTTGAGAACGAAACGCATCAAAGTGCTGGGTCAGGTGACCTGCGAGGGATCGTTTTGAAGCATTCTCGGACCGGTGAAAAAGGTTCTCCTTTCAATTTGATCAATTTGCGATAATACCAGTATAGAAAAGTTGTAGTAATTTACTGTACGTGCGTTACAGGCAACCTCTTCACAAAGTCACTTCATTGAGTTGAAGCTCTTGCTTGTGTCCACACTGAAAACTGACGGAATTCAATATTTGTATTGGTCAAACCTCTAGAACCCATTTCAAGGGCCAAGGTTAGGACAGGAATAATCGACTGAAGGTCTCGCCCATTATCTTTCCACAGAAGACAACACTTCTTAGAATGCCTGTCATTGATTTTACCTCTCGTATTTTATACAATGTTGAGAAAAATGGCCATGAAATCAATAATGAGATCGGTGAGGATTACATTAATAATACTGTATGAATCAATTTTAATGAAATGATAAAGGAGTTAAAGATGGCCTGGAAATGAAAGTAGTGAACTCTTAAATCATGCATTAATTCATTTCAAACATTTGACGAGAACGTAATACTGCAGGAACATTTATCACTATTACAGTACAGAAATTCGGAAGTTTGGTGTTAAGCTTTTTATAATACCCAAATTGAACTATTTGTGCCTAGCAATCCCTCACTTGAGATACTACCCTCAGCGTTCTTGAATGTTTATGCCGGTGACCCAGGGGTCAGATCATGTACATAACAATCTCACTGCACATGGTGTTTCAACATAATTCAAATAATATTGTGCATTTTTAGGGATCAAAAACTTGACTTGTAACAGGAATTTACGTGTTATGCTGTCTATCTTTTGCCGGGAACATCTCGTGCCTAAAATGTGAGCTAAAGCAGTATGTTAAATCCTAACGACCTTCTGCCGGGAATTTGACTGCTTTTACACTTCAGTGGGACGCCAGCGCATTTTTTTTTTACATAACATTACATACCAACGTCCTTATTCAGGGCCAAAATAATGAAAAACCATCTTCCGTCTCTTTCATTATGTTAATTACGTCAGAATGACGTATCCTTTTGAGAAAACATGTCTACCAACTGAAAGGTGTTTCAATGCTCCATTAAGCTGCTGTTTGCACTGTTCTGTCACAAAGCGGGTATTTTCCAAGAACGAAATACCACCTTGCAGTCATAAATTTAGAGTTAAGCATGCGTCATCAGACCGACTGAAAGACAAAGGAAAGCATAAATGAACTAAAACTTGCTTCCGAAAATATGCGGTCACGATTACTCGTTACTTCGGCTGTTTATGGTACTCCGTGTCATCAAAAAATGGCTCGAACTTATTCTAACTTCTGTTATGGATATTCTGCTTCAACAAACAAGAAAAGGGAGTTAGGTCACCATCTCTTGTGTCTTAAAATGGATGATGTGGTTGCAAAACAACCGTGTAATGTTTATTTTGTAAAAAAAAAAGCAGAATTTGTGTCATATCCTACTTTCATCCGAACTATTAATGTTTTCTTCCTCGTGTATCCCACCCATGAGATCTAAAACGAAGGTATCCTCCCCAAAAATGTTGTAATAATATTTGACCTCTATTCACGTATAGCACGCCCTCTGGCGGTAGAAGAGGCAAGCCCTCCAAAGAGGAGAATTTCAAACAGTTTTGATGCAGTAAAGGAAGGCTTGCCTTCTAAAGTTACACCCCTTTCTCCCTTTCACATATTACAATAGATACAGACATGAAACTTACCATGTTCACCTCAGAAATACTGTTAATAGATATGACCTCGATGTCGATCCCAATATTAATGGAAGGACCTGTAAAAGATATTTTTGATATCAGCATACGCTTGAATCTTTAAGGGTACGTTCACTTCTATCATCTGCATATGTGAAAGGGTCATTTTGCCTAAGTGACCTTTCTCGCCCACAAATCGAATTGAAATTTAAACATGAATGATCTGTTATATTGGGTGGTTTTCCCTTTAAATATCGTAACAAAACGTATTATCAAATATCAACAAAACAGTGGTGTCAGCCGATGGTAGCCTTTAGCCGATGTATTAGAGTTCATTGATATCAGTGCTAACCATCCATGTCTGTTGGGCTGTCTTCTGTTTATTAATAAGAGAATAAATATGTGCTTGGCCAATCTTAAACGTTCAGTTAAGACCGGCCAGTGACATAAATTATTCCCATTCATAAATACCCTTTGAGTCTGAAAGTCAACACAAGTTTGAAAGTTACATATGTCCGACATCTTTGTTCAAAATATTTGCTTCTTTTCTAAAGCACCCCTCTTAAAATAAATCTCCTTTTTATGGATTTGGACGCGCGCGTGGTGCCTACTGCTTGAAATGGCACTCAGCCACGCCGTGCTTTATCAACTGTTGAAGACCAGCCACGTGACAGACTCTCGACCATTAGGAATGGCTAAACCGTCTTAGGTACTAATGAGTATCTCTATAAACATGCTCGTTTCTTAATGTTTGGATAATGTAAGAATCTTTGTTCAAGTTTCAAGATTTCTATCTGCAATATACCAATTAGAAATCCTTTCTATTTGATACTGAAAAGTCCGACACCCTTTTTTCGTAATCGAATGAATTATCTTCGCTAGCTGCCATGTCAAGATTAGGAATAGAATGCTCGGATAATTGCCCGGTCTGGTGTCCACTGTTTGTTAAGCTGACCATTCAAGTGTCAATGTTTGTTTCAATGTGTCGTAAAAGGAGCCAATTCATCACCACTTTGCACCGCAGATCAATAATGCTTATCAATATAAGGCATACAACAGATTCCTGCGATAATTGAAAACATCTATCCTTACAATTGTTGGCATATCGATATGACACTTCCTTCCCATTTTTGATCTGATCCTCATTCCAATTAGCTGTGAACACGCACCTTGCGTCGAATGATTAGAAAAGGAGCATGTTTCCCCGAACACGTCTCTTTGAAGCTAACGTGTTTAAATTTCAAATCCATGGGGGAGAGTTTTATTTTCAGACTGGTGCTTCTTTACGAAGGGAAAAAATGGCTACCTACCTCCGAAACGCGGCCGAAGCCTGATGTCGTAACCATTCGTCATTTCCTTGATAGCAGCAGATATATTGGCGCTCATAGTGGTCTGATACTCCATTCCACTAGTAAGGAATTAAGATACATGCATGTAGATTACACACTGAGTCATGAAACACACCGTTCAATATGTGATAACGTTCAGCGAGCAAGTCTCGCGATCATGTACGTAGGCACTGGTACTTAATAAAGCATGTAGGGTGGTTCATCGTCAGTAGACAGCAGGGTAAACTAAACATGCTTAAAGGCACCATTGGGATAGAACATTTTTTTAAAAGGCTCACCTGCAATTCCCAACGTCCAAGCCATAAACAAACAAGAAAAAAATACTCCATAATTCCACAAATGCCGTCACAAGTAACTGTGCGCTGAAGCCAGCCATGATTAGGGTCTGAACGGTGGTTAAGAGCGTTCGCCACACCACCTCATAGTATGAATCTGACTATTAAATCATAGCGGGCCTACCTCGCAAATAACACACGCGCAGTACGTGCAGCCGAATGCAGGATCCTAAAGCTCACCGTGTGCACCGTCGATCGCGCCGCGTGTGTAGTGGGTAATAAAAAAAGAGCGGGAGATTGCATGCGTGCAGTGCGCATGCCCGATTGAACTTCCACCAGATCTGGTCCAGGTTTTTTTTTTTTATCCCCGGCTGCCTTGCTAGTGCACTGTGTCTGGCCGGAGCGGAGTGGTGGAAGCGAGTTGTTCTGAGTCTCTTGGAACACACTTGACTGAGACCCAATTGGTGCTTGTGTAGCTGGGCTAGGTTTCACCCAGTTCTGACGTTGTGGTTTCATTAGCAAATATGACTCCTCTCGCCATTAGCGTGTTTTCCGGTTGGGTTAGCACGGTGGCGTGCCCCTCTCCGCGTCAGTGGAGAGCACAGTCCATGAGAAGCAAACGGAGGCTGCTCAAATTCCTATCGGGGCCAATTTTCTTTCCCGTTCTTTTTCTCTTTTTTAACTTTACTGTTGTACGAGCATTTCCAGGAAAGATTTTCTGAGCGCATACCCCTGCACAGCCAAACTGAGCTGTTGTTTTAAGGCGACACGAAGACAACTTCGTGTTTATGGGAACAAAACCAGTATGACAGTTAGTCACGCTCTTTTACATCCTCTGAAAACTCACGTCTCGCAGCAAAACACATCATTCCAGAACGGCAATGTGGTATACGGTTCTTTGTGAAACGACTCTCTCGAGATAATTGAGTGAAATGCACGTGATGTTGTTAAGATTTGGCTGATTGGTCTACCGTAAAACGCTTCTGCATGGTCTATGAAGAAAGAAACACGGGCTTCTTTATACTCAATCCAGGAGGAAAATCTCAGCTCTGTCTATAAATTTAAATTGTGTAAGTCAAATTCTGTGGGAGTGTGCTTGTTTTATCTGATTTCATTAGAATGAGTATATTGGCAAGAATTATTGCACGGACTGGAAAGTTGCTCTTTTGAATGGTGGTTTTGTAGGCATTGGTGGTGTGTCTTCAACGCCACACGCTGGACAAGACAGCAAGACTGGAACAAACAGTTTTGCAAATTGAGCGATTGGCTTTGAAAAAAATATCCCAAAAGGGGGAGAGTCAACAAAACTTGTCTTTCAAAGTTGCAAATATTTTCCGGTGGGTAATGGCATCAGCGGCTTCTTGGAAAGGCAGTATGGCGCGTAAAGTAATGATGCAATCGGGGCAGTTTATCAGTGCTGTGGGTATCGATACAATTAAACTGAATTAATATGAAAGGTTCACGGGTGATCCCACTGATGGTGCCATCATTAAGGGGTCGGTCCCGTGGGGTTCCGGGTCAGTGTGTTATTTCAACCTGCACGGACTTGATTTGTGTGTGTGTACCTTTCCTAATTACTGCGGAGAGCGGCGCCATAACGAGCCGGGGTCCACGATTGCCGGCCGGGGACCAGCTAATGAATTCCCGCATGTCCTGCGCCGTGACAATATTTACCCGTGACTGATGATGGGGCACCACCATCAGCCGCTGCCGGACAAAATCAGATTAAGGGGGGGCTGCATCTCGTACCCATCGCGCTCTGGGGCCCATCACGCTCTCCGTGCGGACCAGGCCCCGTTGAAATGTTAACAATTTCCCGCATGGCTTCGACGAGGCAGAAAAATAAGTCCCACACCAAATCTTCTGTGCCTCTTCCTCAGTCGGAGTTCCAAATTTATAGAAAGGGGCCGTGAACCTTGGAGGATCCAGTCACTTGACAGACAACTTTAAAACCCCCTAATTTGTGATAATGGAATTATTCATCTTTTGGGCAAACTTCAAGTCAAGCCTGGGGACTTCTGTCTAATGTTTTGGTCTATGCTCTGGTAGCAGCACTCAATTTACACACTGTCTTCAGATGAGCTCATACATCAGGGCATGAATTTGGTCTACGGTTTCGTTCTTTGAATTGGGACGATCCACTGCAATTTTGTGGTTCTATGCAGTAATTGTCTCTTTGAACCTCGGCGTGCTTCCTAAATGTATATGCGCCGTTTTCCTTCGTAAACTATGTGACTGACTGCTTCCTAGCGTGTCATCAATATTTCAACTATGTGCCCACTTGCGGTGCCTTCCCTTATGTGTCCCCAAATGTTACGGGCACTATTCTCTGCGGCCAGGGCTATTCTATTCAGGGCCATGATGCCTCATTGTACCTCTTGTCTTCTTTATCCTCACTTTGCTCCGATTCGCCTTGCAGTTTTTCAAATCTGTACCTCACCCTTCTTCTAAATTCAAAATTGCACCTTATTGTCTTTATATGGTCACAATGTCCCAACTGAACCTTAATGACACCCGTCTTACCTCACTGCACCTCACACAGCGTTCCGCCTCAATGTTGTTTGTATCACTCATCTTACGATCACATGGGATCAGTTGTCTGGCCTTAGATCCGAGTGTTTGCGTGGAGACATGCATGACGATAGTCGAGGCCCCCGGGGGACCCGTTTCGGACCCAGGGCTTCAGTGCCATGAAGTCACGGCGTGATTGGGGCCTCTGCTGGAATGACACCTCGGAGTGTTTTGGTCTCAGTTTCACCCTCTTCCTCTACAGGAATCCGCATTACACTTAAAAATGCCCTATGTTCCGTTTTGATTATTTGTCTTGTGTCCTGACTGCTTTCCTTCGTATTCCACAGACGGACGTATTCGATTCACTCGAAAATAATGCAAGTAGGAATTGGGGTAGACGGAAAATGCGTGACGTTAATTATGCTTCTGAAATTTTCATGAATCTTGTTTGATGAGGGATGTTTTCAAATGTGGCGATGATTTGACAAGAATTTTAGATCAGGGGTCACCTTAGTTGAAAACACCCAGCACAAGGTAATATTTAAAAGTCTTCATTATATTTCAGCCAGTAAATCTATGTGTAGAAACCAATAAAACAAGACGGGTTTGCTGCCTCTAAAGAGACACGGTGTAGCCAACAGATACAAGGGAGCAGGTGCCTCGCTGCTCGGACCAAAGTATGCCTGCCCCTCGCTGTCGGTCTCTGGCTCTCTCGAGACCGGGGGAACACAGGAAGAAAAATCGAATTCCGTAGGTGAACCAAGGCCGAGTAGGCTCACTCGGCCGGCCCACCGGGTGCTTTATTAAAGAGTTATGACATTTTTTCGTACAATCCAGCCCGTGTAACGATCTTGGCCCCCTCTAACTGGGGCATCGACCACTAAAATAATGACGTTGATTAGATTAGCGGGGAAGCACTGCCGGCGATGACGTGTCTTCGCAGTACAAGAATGCACGCTCCTCCTGTGGGTGCATTAAGTGGAGGGAGCACAGGACAGATGTTGGGTCTCCCTCTAAAGAAGAGTTACAGGGAGAAATTATTAAAGGGCGCAGCACGCCTTGATATTCTTTGTGCTCGTGGCATTAATCATCATCAGCTGAACTAGTTAGGCAGAAATGTACAGTTCACGAAACACTCTGATTGCTCTCCTCTGGCACGTGAGTGAAAGCTTACGTCCGAATATACTTGGCTACTATTTCTCATGACACACAAGTCAGTGGAAAGTGGCTTCGGCCTCACTCTGGCGGCTTCCATAGACGTACGTGTTATATCCAGTCGTAGCCAAGCAACTCAGGCACAGTCGTAGGCCTATATATATTTTTGAAGATACTCCTTGTTCGAAAGACGCTTTGGATGAGGCGGAAGTTGTCCCTCTATGTGATGTAATCCGTTCACGGCAGCCTTCAGTGAGAGCGACGTTGATGTCTGGTGCCCCGGTTTTAAGGGATGATAGGGCGGCAGGGGCGGTTATAGCAACGGGTGGAAAGTCAAAGGCGTCCCGACGGACCCCTCGGCCCCTGGGGAGAGACTGGGGACTGAGCCGCACGTGGAAGCGACACGGCCATGGGTCTGTTAGCCTGGATTTATGGATTGCTTGGCCTTCCTGTCGGCCCCTGTGATTACCCCAAAAAGTTACCGCCGGAGGTCCTGTAACCATGGCAACAGGAGAGTGAACATCACTTATTTATGGTTGGAGGGAAACTGTGAAGAGAAGCAGTAGGGCATGCGTGACGTGCAGAGGTGTACCGGTATAGGCCCACTTGACCTATGAGCGTCATATTCTCTCGTCTATTTTTCGTAGTTTAGTTTGTAGGGAGAACTGGGAGATACCATACATAATAATGAATTCTATGCAGTGACATTAAAAGACTCTCTCGTGAGGCAGTAAGCGTCATCGTAAACTTTAAAAAGAGAAACAATGGAATAAAAAGAGCAACGTGCCAATTAAAAAAGTTACTGAGAATTCGAGTTTATGCATCGTAGGCATGCCGATTGTTGTTGTCCAGGTGAATATGTGCAATGCTTTGATTAGTCAGACTCTACATCCAGAACATTAAAGGTTTGAAATTCTGAAAATAAACATCCACCCCACTATTTCAGGAGTACTTCCTTGAAGCGAGCGAATAATTTGAGGTTAGAACACCTGCTGCTCCTGAGTCTTTCGACCCCATCCCCCCTTGAGACCCCTTCAAAAAAGGACGCGAGCAATGCCTGGCGTCCTACTCTAATAACCTGCGTGGACAGAATTGGCCGGCAGAGCCCCAGATATTGCAGACTCCCTCCCGTACTGTATACTCCATTGTGGATGTTTTGAAAATTGATCCACCAGAAAAATTGTAGCTGGGCCGAAGTAATAGCAATCCGCGACTCTGCCTGCACTATCCCGCGAGGAATAATCGGCGCATCTCGTTCCTCGTAAAACGATACCAACTCTTGACCGGAATGCTCATTGGGGGCACGGACACATGAGAAATTGACCGATATTACCAATACTGCACTCCGGGGGATATTTGAGACATCTCCTTAATACATAAAAGCCCGATTTTTGAAATCTCTTACAAACGAACCAATGAGAACTTTGTTTTTTAATTTACACAATCCAGACTAATGGCGGAGCGTCGTTGCACTTTCATTTCACCTACAAAGTATACACAACCTGCATTCCCCTTGCATTTTCATAAACCAAGTTACATTATGAGTATTGCCCATAATGATAACATTTGTACATCTCCTATGACGACTTTCATGATGGCAGGTGCACCACACGTGAATAAAAATCATGTTCTTGTGCATACATTTGATTAATTTTGAAAAAAAGAGAAGACTCTGGAAGAGGAAGATTTGGCTGTTAAATTTGCCTCCCGAGACGGGCAAATTTATAGTACCCATAAACGCCTACTATTAAATTATGATTGCACAAAGATGTAGCCAGATCGATGGATGCACGGGAGGGACACCTTATTGTGTATCGATTGGCGTGCACGATGCAAGGTGGAGGCAAACCTGGCATATGGAGGTTCACAGGGTCGTCAGTTGCTTCAGTTCACTAAAGTTCCTTGCCCTTATAAAAAACGAATAACGAATATTAAAAAACTAAACTCTCTCAAGTTCAATAAACAATACAAACAGGTGCCGCCCCAGTTGTTTTACTTTCAAACTTCCCTTTCTGTCATTTCCGTACAGAATCTCATTAGATGTTATGCTTCTTTCCATATTGACATTTACCTCCTCCAGGTCATTCATTTGAAATGTTTTCTGACAGAGATCTAGCTTTGTTGAAGCTTTGTTCACTTTTGGTATAGCCTGAAATTGGCATGCTGCTTTATGACACCGAGATTTCAACCGTTATAGGAATCAATTTTTGATATCTTAATTTGTCATAGCTGGCATAGTCCAAATTTGTGAAAATTACTCGCTTGAAGCTGGGCCACTGTAGCTCATTTTCCATTCAGATTTGACACTGCAGATTTCATCATATTTTAAGTTCTAAAGCGACAGGAAATTTTAGTTTTTATAAGGCGTCATTTTTTTAATCTCGTTGAAATGCTATACACTGAGGTCACGTAACGTTGGACGATTGATAGAAATGAAGGCAGGGTAATGTACATCTCCGCCTGAAGCAACAAATGAAACCGCTTTTCGAGGTGAATTTGTCTTTGTGCTGTTGTTTGACCCCATTGGGAAATTTCCTATGTCACATCTCGCAGTACTAGATTTCTTTCTCCTAATTGTATCAACTGTTGCCTTGCTGGGGTCATGTCTGTTACAGAAAACAAATTCACATTTCAACAAGGCAAGCTCTAATAATCACCCTGGCTGTGTCCACGTGTGCTTGGCAATCAAGTTGTGTTCGAAATCAGGAAGGAAAATCAAGACTCAGCTGGTCCGCAGTTTAGATGGCATAGCAGGCTGCTGTATGATCACCTTTGTGGTCGTCTTATATAGCAGGCACCTGATCACCCATGACCCATTGGTCATCATCTCGTAAGTCAAACGTAGACTCCAAGCTCTGAGTATACACATCGGTTCTTGCTCAGTCTTATTTCCTTGTCATTTTATTAGATGCATGGGTTAGCAGACAGGAAGACGACTCGGAAAAGGAGGTGAAACTGAAATCAGATGTCGCAAATCCACTTTCACCTGATTTCAATCTCTGTGTTTCTTACTTTCTGATTCCCCCGTGCCTCTCTCACCTTAAAATATTCATTCTGTTTTAGTCTGTACTTACCAACTAGAATGCTCTCTTTCCAATCGGAACACAAGCAGTCGCAGGCTGGAGACAAAACATTTTTTCCTCTTGAATGTATACTAAACTTAAAATTATTTTTTCTCTTTATCTTTATTTCTCCTCTATAAACTAAAACTGTCCTTTTGTTACTTTCATTATCACCGACTTCGATTCCTGTGTTTTTCAGCACACGATGAGTGGTAACCTCGATTTTCAGTCCTACCGAGAATAAAATGCGAGCTGGTATAACTTAACACAGAGCTGCCCAACAGTTGACACGCTTGCAAAAGAGCTCGTACCCCGCCAGTCAGTGGGAAACCACTGTGCATTTTAAACACGTTCAAGTGTATGTTATTAACATATTTTTCAACCTACATTGTGCACTCACAACAGTTACCAAAGTGTGGCTGTAGGTGCTGGTTCATTGTATAGCTAGCTATATATTCAAAGAATAACAACACGTACTTCCCCGAGGCTCAGCCAGTGCCGGACTTACAACAACCGCGAGTGCACTAGAAAGCCAGAAAAAAAACATGAAAAATATTGCAATTGACTCGTGGCCAGATGTCGTCAGTCGGCCGTTGGAGCGTATTTTTCAAGAGCTTCCTCCCGTGTTGTATTATTAAAACTCTCGTTCCGTCAGAACATGTTCAGCTGGGAGAGAGGCAGAGAGGCCGACGACTGTGGTTTTCTGTGGCCAAGCGGTCTGCGGCCAGGAGGCTTTACCATTTTAATGCATTTTGCCAGGCAATTTCGATCATAGTTTTTCTCGCGTCAGTTGCGAGTGAAGGAGGCAGGACTGCTTGTGCCTTATTTGATTTTCACCCCGGTGTTTCACCGGATTTGTTCCGCTCGGAGTAATCCTTTCAGCCCCTTGCCTAAATAAAGCCACGCAGGCCGGAACTCTTCTCCAAACAAACCACGGCGATTGTGTAGGTAGTAAGTGTCCCCCATCGACAGAGTAGCAAAATTCTCTGTTTTGCTGAACGAGCAGTGCGCGCAGGATTTTTTTTTTGACCGAGCATAGCATCTCCCAGCATGCCCTGTGCGAGCCTCGCGCTTTCCCGCCAATATTTCGAGGTCACGCTCGGTGACCTCAAGTGAAGCGCGCCACCACACGCTGGTTCTAAACCGACCCGGTTGTTGGCGGTATCGTTGCAAGCACGCGGGGACAAACCACGACGCGTCGACCGGTGCGGTGTGCCTACCGTTTGCCAGCCTTGCACTTCGGGACAAACGTGGAGCGAAAACTGCTTCATACACAGCCATCGTTGTTTGCGGTGTAAACACTGTCAGCTTCGCTTGGAACCTCGTCAGAAATCTGGATCCGAACAAACAGTTTCTGAGGGTACGAAAACGTCGTTGATATGGAGAGATTCGGGGTAGTGTATTTCGTGTTCAGTTGCTTCCTCAATCGTTGGTAAGTTAAGTGAATTCTTAGAAATACATAAATAACTCTTAGTTGAAGCCTCTAAATTTCGGGTTAGGATTGTATTTTACTGGGTAGAAATAAGTAAACAGATATTTTGTTTAAACATGAATTAGAACATTGATCAGTGCCGCGTGTATAAAGAAGTACCAAAGTGTCGTCATACACTCATGTATGAGTCTGTAGCAGTTTGCGCCGACATTTTTCAAATTTATGCAATGCACTGCACTAAAATACCAATATCAATTATCGCTGCAATCGATATTCGTCATTCTCGTCAAATTTCACACCCAGATGAAGGTAGCTCTTTAAATATTAAGATGTCGTTCAAGTAGGCGCCGGTATGAATTCACAGGAAGCCATTCCACGCCCCAACTGTCATCGGTACCGGGGGGGTCATACGTTATTTACCTCAAGGGACAAGGTTGCATAATGAACATTACTCATGTCATCGAATGCACGACCCATAGTGCAAGATTTTGCTCGTGTAGAGGAGTGTGTGCAGGGAATAGTTTCAGAAAGGGTCAACAAGAAAGCTGTCGAACTAGGACAGCCCCGCGCTCGCGTTACCCCCAAGGGACCAGGCAGCAAACGTAGGGGGAAAGCGACTCTGCGGTCCCTCACATTTCACCGGAAACCCTAGGCCCATCGTCAGTCACACCTGCTTGTTTCGCACCGGCCCGCTGGTCCTTTTTCTTGTCGACAAAAATATTCCGATCCTTGTTTTTTTCCTCTGTTGGTGATATTCTGCTGGAGGCGTGTCTTCGTTTGCTGGAAGCTCTCTCATTTTACTTCCTGTATTTTCCCGGCACACCTTTCTGCGCGGGAGCCGCCGTTAATTAAAGCGCGTGTCGCCGGCGGAGCGAGTATGCCGGATTACGGCATGATATCGGGCGCATGCTGCAGCACGACTGACGACCTGTTTTAGGGACCCAATGCTTGTCTGAACTCATACAGAAATCGCAGCCATGGAAAACCATGTTCTAGCCGTCGTGGCCTTAACCCCTGTAGGGACGTGAAAGAAGTCCCCCCCCCAAAAAAAACCCGAATTGATAGCAAGATTCAGGGGAATTCACCCAATGTCCCGACAATAATAGTGCGCTGGTTTCCCTTCACAAGCTTACCTCCCAGGTTGGTTACATACTCTGATTGTTCGCATGAAAAATAAATACATTCATATATGTGAAGAATAATTTATTAAAGGGACGTACCTGACTTTACCTGACTTTGAGTGTTACCTACACCAGCTGAAAAATGGTAGCGTGATATATCAGTCGTATGTAGAAATAATACAGATGCATTGGCTTTGAAAGCTCGCGTCGTCATTTCACATGTGCGGGCAGACACACTTTTGCATTTTGGGCAAACTACTGCAAGAAGTGCATTTGTGTGTTCTATACTTTGCAGGTGAAGGTCAGCTCACCGGTATCCCAAAACTTCGTATTTTGACTTTCTGTGCACCTGGTAACATTTGACGACGGTTTTATTTTGATTTTCCCGCTGCATTGAAGCTGATAACGAATGCATGATCGACGGATACAACTAATTAACATAAAAAGAAGTGTGCCATCATTTTCTTTTCGATTAAAAATCGCACATTTGATGCTCGTTTTTGCATTTAGTTTTTATTTTTGCATCCAATATCTAGCAATGTAGATCAGTGCTTATTCTGAAGGAGTAGTGGCGCCATGGGTGTATCACCGTGTCATCCAAACAACATGTCAAGGTTAGAAGCAAGAGGGAAGATGTCCAGCTTTGCCAGAAATCAATATTATCGTGGTTCACATAGGGGATTTTGTCGGAGTGTTGTCTTGTTCGTGTGGTTAATGTAGATTTAAATATTAATTGGCCATACTCACTGAAAATTAGTTAATAAACCAGCAAGATTTGAAACAGAAGAAAAGTTTGGAGATAATGAACCACAGTAAGCACATCCAAGCCAAGGGTATGAGGAGAGTAAATTTAACAAAGTAAGCTGAAGTCCTCTTTCGGAGCGTAGGAGGACTATGCGTGTTCCCATTGCAGGCCAAATGTTTCGTTATTAAACTGACCATGTTAAAGACAATAGCGGTGTAAAAAAGGACTACCCGTTCAGTGCTTACCATTCTAAATGGAATAACAACGATTATTATGGCGTGGGGAATCGATCAAAATTGTGACTATGGTAAAACAAAAAAGCTCCTTCAAATTCACCAGATGTATCAAAAATCGGGGAAAACTGCAGCGCACGCACATTATAAACTGGTCACGGTATACCTCTCCTTCTGCGTGCCGAGACGACACAGTTACTGGGGCATTGGTGATTGCATTGGCGGTATCAAATTGTAGCTGTGAGCTACGTTCACAGTAGACACGAATAAGACATTTAGAATCTTCTGTTTCATTTGGGTGTCGCGCACATTTATTGCGTACGATGTATCACTTGCGATGCCTAACCCTTTGGCAAATCGTGTGCCCGGAAACCAGTCTAATTCGATTCTAATTAGCGATTCCTTCCTCATGGCGCAGGCGCACGCTGTCCATATTTGGTGACTGTTCACTATAATTGGAGTATTGAATCTTGAAGCCCCAGTCAGTGTGCGGTTAACTTAAATGAAGCGGTGTTTGCATGCAAATTGCAGGCTAGAAGCTTCAAAATTTATATACACTTTGGGTTTTACACCGCAGAAAGCAGAATATGCTGAATTAACGTGAAAATATTTATGCTTGCCTTTAACTAGTATAGATACGGCGGACCTAATCAAATAAACTCAAATGAAAGAATTAATCCTATCGAGGACTGAAGTAATCTCATTAAAATGTAATTAATTCGGTGCAGAAATGAATTAACTATTCCAATGAGAAATGAAGTTGTCCTGTAGGGGAATTTATATTCACTTAATGGTTTCCCCAGAAACGTTACAAGCTAGCAAACCTTTAATGCGCCGCATTAAAGAATAACTAACGTATGGATTCAAATCGAATGTTGACATGAATGGCATAGACGGTACAAATCACATGTACTGAAGCAGAAAGCAAGAGCACGGTGAACATATTCTTTTTACCTTCATTCTTGAAGGTCTTGAAAAAGTATGTGTGATAGGTACTCGAATGTGACATGAATTGATTACTTGCCTCGACCGACAATTTCAATTCCACATGAATCCCTCTCCTTGTTCAATCATTCTGATGATTGTTTCGTTTTGTTTTTTGGTTTTTTTTTCTGAATGCTTTCAGGTTTCCAGTTGACCGACTAAGGAAGGGAAATTGTGTCTGTACGGTATGATAAATAAGAGGCCTGTCTACCAAATCACAAGGTAGTCTGGGTGACACGCGTAGATTGAATATCTTGCTTCCCTTGACATTTGGATTGTGTTGCGGAGCAAAGAGCCCCCCTCGACTTGGCGCTCGTATAATAAGCCATCTTTTTCCCCGAGCACGGCCCGAGTGTTTTTATATCGGGGATTTCTACTTCATCTCTTCTGGGATCTTCTGTGTCATTATGTCATTCAGTGGCATCTTTTAACCCTAACAGTCCCAAATCCTCCGATTTCATGATGTTACGTACACTCTATAGGGGGTTAGGGTTGAACGATGCTCCACTTTTTGGATGAAAAAGCAGAAGAGTGACGAACATAATCAATACCATGGAGGGTTATCCGTAATATAATGAATTAACCTTACAAGAAGGACAAAAATTGGATGAATGTTCAGAGAGGGTTAAATGCATTTTCAATGTACCTGTATTTTGGCCTTTTGCCATTAAGTTTACTTTTAGTCGGTCAATTAGCCAGTCTCTCAGTCAGTAACTCAGTCAGTCAGTCAGTTTGATTCTAATGGAAGATGTTTTAGTATAGGCCTACATGAAGGTTGCATTCAGTTGCAGACCTGCTGGCCTTGTGGTAGATAAAGACACGATTCTTTCTCACACTTTGGAATGAGAACTGAAATCAAAAGCACAAAACTCAGATCAAATCTGACTGTGTGAAAGTTTCACTGATGTCCCACTGCTTTCAGCCTATGCGTATCAGTAGCAGACGATCAAGTCTAATCGTATGGTGGGAACCGAAGCCATTATGTAAAAGAGGTTGACAGCAATTGAGACGGTCAGAACGACGTCATTCGCAATGAACACCAATGCTAAGTGAATTGCTGTCGCCACCAAGGGTCATGACAGAAGGAAAAGTGGGCTAGGACGGCAGGGAGATCGCAACAGCCCTCAAAATGCGACGGGGGAGGCCCATGTCCAAGGCTTGCAAGGTCAGGAGCGAGGAACTCACAGAGAAATGAATGCCTGCCGTTTTATTAATCACGCGGGAAAATGGCGAGCGATGATCATGCAAGTTGACCCTCCTGACTTTATTTCACTCGATAAAGCATACGCGATGAATCTTGTGTGATACTTAAAGATGTTGGAATAATTTCCTGGACGGGATGTGTCTAATTTTTTTTTCTTTTTTGTGCAAGAATTGGTTGGCACGCCAAGTCCAAGGACTCGCCTTTCCGAGGTTTTGTCAGAACCATTTTGAATGTTCCACTTCATATCTGAAGCAATTAGGTGTCCTGTAAGGAAAAAAGTCACTCGAGAGGTTTGAGCTAAAGAGCATTAGTTTTAAAAGAGTAACATTTAACAATTTTGCAAATTTAGTGGTTGTAAGTTTGCATGGATTATTAAGTACCGTGAATTAGTTAAGATTCGAGGACTAATACATTAATGAAGCTTATTATTATGCATATGTGGCATTAGCTATGCCAAATATCCATTTATTTCTATTTCTGAAATGTTTGGCTGAGTCTCCTCCGTCTCTTAAGTTCTCAAGTTTTATTGACATACGTCGTCTTGTATTACAAGCCATCTTATAATATTGGGAGGTTTGCAGAAGAGTTTTACTTCATGGTGAACTCAGATACTCGTGCGTTTTCGTCATAGACCCGCAGTGTATTGTAATGTCTACTTGCTCTCTCTCTCTCAGTTTCTCCTGTGTTCTCAAATTCAATTAATAATTTCCGAG